AAAAGGCAACACATTTTATTATGCTAATTTTCTCTACTTTTTATTTTTTTCTACAATTAATCTGTTGCATTATTAGCGTATTCTTTGAATGGACGCAGAGTTTTGTAAATATTATTTAATATAATACAATAATATAATAATAATAATACATGCACACATATATGTGGATATATTATTTTATATTGAATATATTATTATAAAAAATGTTTGCCCATAAATACATTTATATATTTGTATACAATAATTATTATTATCATTATATTATTACATTACATTTGCCTAGTATAATATAATCTATACTAGTACATGCTACAATGATTTACAGCAATTTGAACATCAATAAATCATTACAATAGCCATTGTAACACGTGAAAAATGTCCGCAGCAACGACGTCGTTATTGAATTTTCACGAAAGTTTCACAATTTCTATCGCGCCGCGCGTACACGTTTAAACGAGAAAAAAAAAAGTTGTTGGAGAAGTATGTCGCGCAGCAGCATTTTCTCCAATTTCAGTGGCTCGTAAGTCTGAAAGAGAAAAATACGTTTATATATATATATATATGTATTTGAAACCCAGTTGGAACGACCGGTGTGGCACAAGTATATGTATATAACATAATTCCAACAGTTAATTAAGATCGAATCGGCTGGTACGTTTTCGCTGATCTTTATTTATATACAGTGGAAAAAAAACTGTTCTGCTTTCCACTACATTGCATCTCGATCGTTACGCCGGTGAATTACTTTTGCCACGTGCGTAAATATTACATGCTCCGTAAGTTCACGCCGTTTCACGGATTTTCATGATACTTCACGGTCTCGTAAGCATTTGGACAAATATTGACATTGACTCTGGACGGTTTTCGATCATTTTCTTGCATTCTGCGTTCTAGTATATTATTCTATATGATAGTATGATGGTATAATAGTATGATAGTATGATTTCATTCTACGTTCTATATTTTTCTATATGATAATATGATGATATGATAGTATGATAGTATAGTTTATATATTTTAGTTAATATATTAGTTAATATATTTTATATTAATATTATTTTAATATTAGTTAACATATTTTATTATTATATTAAAATATAGTTATATATTTTGATAATACGATAATATGATAATATAATGACACGTAAATAATTTCGGAACAACAAAATGTTATCTGAAGAATTTCTCTATAAATACATTACAACATTACGATACTAATTAAATAAAATTCAATTTTATTCATTCTATTTTAAATAATGTTTCAAATATTTCCAGCTGTAAAATAAATATAATCGCATGCCAACAAAATATCGTCGCAATTAATCGGCTATAAAGGAAAACGACGCACCTGCATCCCGTGTGCAATTACTCTTCGCGTTTCGTAGCAGGAAATCTTGGTCGACGGAGGAACCAGGTTTCGCGGAACAAGTCCGTTGCATCCGCGGCACGGCGCGCACCTACACGCGGGCGCAGGTTACGCCGGAGCTTGGACGCACCGGAGCGTCCTACCGGAAACGGCGCTCAGCACGGCACGGCACGGCACACTTACGGAAGCCGCGCGGCGCGCATACTTACACGCGTAGAGCTTCCCGGCATGCATCCCGCGGGACGCGTGCACTCGGCCGATAATCCGGGACGATGCAACCGGCAATTCCGTCGTGCCGTTTATCGTCGTTTCGCGGTTCAACGTACCGGCGCGGGGCATTCCTTCTCGATCGCCGATAAGGCCTCGGAGCAAGTCCTCGATGGAAACGAGGAAGAGCACGGGTTCTTGGAAAATTAGCGGCTCGAGGGAGATAACGAGGATACATCGGGAGGATTTCTTCCCGCGAAACCGCTCCGCTGATTGCGAGAAATTAAAGCGCCGGGTGAACAACCCCTGCAGGCGATATCGCAGGGCGGTGGTTTCTTTAAGTGGTGTTTGGTTTCTGCTGTTTTTTAAAGCTCGTGAGCTGGGAGGTTTTTAATGTGTCGTGGTGGCGTTGTGTAGTTAATTAAGTACCGTGCAATTATCTGTTTCAGTTTTGATTTTGATTTTGTAGCTTGTATTGTAAACAATTTTTATTTCGTGCTTTGTATTTTATATAATTTTTAGTTTGTATTTCGTATTTTGTATAAATTTGTTTTGTGCTTTGTATTTTGTACGGTTTCTATTTTCTGGAATTTTTATTTTATACTTTGTATTGTGAACAATTGTTATTTTGTGCTTTACATTTTGTATAATTTGTATTTTCTTGAATTTTTATTTTTCAATTTGTATTGTGTACAATTGTTATTTTGTACTTCCTATTTTGTACTTTGTGCTTCCTATATTTTCCTATATTTCCTATATTTTATATTTTGAATTTCGTACTTTGCATATTATATATTGTATATTGTATTTTGAGATGTGTATAAGAGACAGGTGTACAATTGTTATTTTGTACTTCCTATTTTGTACTTTGTGCTTCCTATATTTTCCTATATTTCCTATATTTTATATTTTGAATTTCGTACTTTGCATATTATATATTGTATATTGTATTTTGAGATGTGTATAAGAGACAGGTGTACAATTGTTATTTTGTACTTCCTATTTTGTACTTTGTGCTTCCTATATTTTCCTATATTTCCTATATTTTATATTTTGAATTTCGTACTTTGCATATTATATATTGTATATTGTATTTTGAGATGTGTATAAGAGACAGGTGTACAATTGTTATTTTGTACTTCCTATTTTGTACTTTGTGCTTCCTATATTTTCCTATATTTCCTATATTTTATATTTTGAATTTCGTACTTTGCATATTATATATTGTATATTGTATTTTGAGATGTGTATAAGAGACAGGTGTACAATTGTTATTTTGTACTTCCTATTTTGTACTTTGTGCTTCCTATATTTTCCTATATTTCCTATATTTTATATTTTGAATTTCGTACTTTGCATATTATATATTGTATATTGTATTTTGAGATGTGTATAAGAGACAGGTGTACAATTGTTATTTTGTACTTCCTATTTTGTACTTTGTGCTTCCTATATTTTCCTATATTTCCTATATTTTATATTTTGAATTTCGTACTTTGCATATTATATATTGTATATTGTATTTTGAGATGTGTATAAGAGACAGGTGTACAATTGTTATTTTGTACTTCCTATTTTGTACTTTGTGCTTCCTATATTTTCCTATATTTCCTATATTTTATATTTTGAATTTCGTACTTTGCATATTATATATTGTATATTGTATTTTGAGATGTGTATAAGAGACAGGTGTACAATTGTTATTTTGTACTTCCTATTTTGTACTTTGTGCTTCCTATATTTTCCTATATTTCCTATATTTTATATTTTGAATTTCGTACTTTGCATATTATATATTGTATATTGTATTTTGAGATGTGTATAAGAGACAGGTGTACAATTGTTATTTTGTACTTCCTATTTTGTACTTTGTGCTTCCTATATTTTCCTATATTTCCTATATTTTATATTTTGAATTTCGTACTTTGCATATTATATATTGTATATTGTATTTTGAGATGTGTATAAGAGACAGGTGTACAATTGTTATTTTGTACTTCCTATTTTGTACTTTGTGCTTCCTATATTTTCCTATATTTCCTATATTTTATATTTTGAATTTCGTACTTTGCATATTATATATTGTATATTGTATTTTGAGATGTGTATAAGAGACAGGTGTACAATTGTTATTTTGTACTTCCTATTTTGTACTTTGTGCTTCCTATATTTTCCTATATTTCCTATATTTTATATTTTGAATTTCGTACTTTGCATATTATATATTGTATATTGTATTTTGAGATGTGTATAAGAGACAGGTGTACAATTGTTATTTTGTACTTCCTATTTTGTACTTTGTGCTTCCTATATTTTCCTATATTTCCTATATTTTATATTTTGAATTTCGTACTTTGCATATTATATATTGTATATTGTATTTTGAGATGTGTATAAGAGACAGGTGTACAATTGTTATTTTGTACTTCCTATTTTGTACTTTGTGCTTCCTATATTTTCCTATATTTCCTATATTTTATATTTTGAATTTCGTACTTTGCATATTATATATTGTATATTGTATTTTGAGATGTGTATAAGAGACAGGTGTACAATTGTTATTTTGTACTTCCTATTTTGTACTTTGTGCTTCCTATATTTTCCTATATTTCCTATATTTTATATTTTGAATTTCGTACTTTGCATATTATATATTGTATATTGTATTTTGAGATGTGTATAAGAGACAGGTGTACAATTGTTATTTTGTACTTCCTATTTTGTACTTTGTGCTTCCTATATTTTCCTATATTTCCTATATTTTATATTTTGAATTTCGTACTTTGCATATTATATATTGTATATTGTATTTTGAGATGTGTATAAGAGACAGGTGTACAATTGTTATTTTGTACTTCCTATTTTGTACTTTGTGCTTCCTATATTTTCCTATATTTCCTATATTTTATATTTTGAATTTCGTACTTTGCATATTATATATTGTATATTGTATTTTGAGATGTGTATAAGAGACAGGTGTACAATTGTTATTTTGTACTTCCTATTTTGTACTTTGTGCTTCCTATATTTTCCTATATTTCCTATATTTTATATTTTGAATTTCGTACTTTGCATATTATATATTGTATATTGTATTTTGAGATGTGTATAAGAGACAGGTAGATATATATATATATACACTTTAATATAGGATTTAATAAAAAATTTAATATACGATTTAATATACGATTTAATATATATATATATACACTTTAATATATTATTTAATAAACAATTTAATATACGATTTAATATACGATTTAATATACACTTTAATACAGGATTTAATAAACAATTTAATATACGATTTAATATACAATTTAATAAAACTTGAAGCCTGAACTTCAAATTTTATAAACAAATAATAAACTTCAGCCGTTCTCAACACGAGTCCTGGAACACCCTGTACAATAAAAGCCATCATACAATTACACATAACAGAGGTACTAAACCATACTTTCCCGTCTCCGGTCAGCACTCGAAGGGCGGATCAGCAGAAAACAGAAGTGAGCCATCGCCAGCAGACATTTCCTTGTCACCGATGCTTTTTCCCGGCTGGCATTCGAAGTTTTGCAACGGGGCGCTGCCGGCGAAGGTATGCCGCCTGAGAATGTCTCGACCTTCGGCGACGTGTACGCGTCCGGCATTCACGTGCGGACGATTATACGTCGAACTTCTGCCGTCGCGATAACGATCTAGGATCGGGCATACGTAACGAACCAGCCGCGTTCGTTCGGACGTGGTGGGGAGGGGGTGTCCTTCTCGAACGGTGTCCGTTGAAAATCGAGGCGGATGCGGCCCCGGAATCGTCCTGCTAAAGGTGAGAACACACTGTGCGTTCGACTTTTCAAAGACGGCCGATGCTTTATCGTCGGAGGTGGAGCCGCTCGCCTCGGCCTTTGGTAACTGTACACGCGCTCTCTTCTCGTCTTACCAACGCTCCTGGCCTCCTCCCCGACCGCCTCGCGCCTCTCCCGCTGATCCTCGACGCCCTCGTTCCCGCCATCCTGTTTACACGACCTTTCCAGTCGCGGATCCTCGTCGTATCCTCCATTCGCTCTGGCGCACGGTTCTGTTTCGCTGGTTTCACGTTCCCAAAATTCAATTCTTAATTAACTCAGAATTTCCTGGTTGCAGTTTAGACGTTTTATTTGTTGACAGAGAAAATGTTTTATCACGTTGATATAGTAAATATTATTGTATAATAGATTATACTGATATATGATACTAGTATGTAATATATTAATATTTATAAGTTATATATATCATACTAATATTATATATGATGTTAATATATTGATATTAATATAATATATTATATATCATACTAATATCATATACGATGCTAATATTAATATATATGCTATTATATAGATGCTATCATTATTATATATAATTATATATCATACTAATATTATATATGATGCTAATATATT